CCTCACCTATGGCACCAAAGCAGCCATTCCAGCCGAGATCGAAGTCCCCTCGCTGAGACTAGAAGCGTATGATGACAAGGCAAATGAAGACGAGCTATGTACCAACCTCGACTTACTTGACGAAGTACGGGACCTCGCGTACATCAGGACCATGGCCTACCAGCAAAGGGTAGCTCGGTACTATAACGCCAGGGTCAAAAAGTGGATTCTCCACGTTGGCGACCTAGTTCTCCGTAAGGTTATGGTGCCTAAGCCCGGTGTTGGTAAGCTCAGTCCGAACTGGGAAGGACCCTACCGAGTAAAGCGAGTACTCGGGGAAGGAACATATGAGCTCAAAACCCTGGAAGGGAAACAAGTACCTCGGGCATGGAATATTGTCAACTTAAGGCAGTATTACCTATAAATAACCGAGTGGACCACGTGTCACTCTCAGAGCCTAAGGGCCAAAATTCCGAGCTAACAAAGACCCTCGGCGCAATAAAACCCAGTCGCTTCTATGTCATGGGCAAACTCCAAGAGCAGAAGACCACGAGTCGCTCTCAGGACTTAAGGGCCAAAACTCCAAACTAACAGACTCCGGCATAATAACCTAGCCGCCTCTATGACACGAACAAATTCTAAGGGTGGCTAAAGCCACTCCCCTCTCGGCCAAGAGGCTAAAACACCGAGCTGACCAAGGAGCTCGGCACCGCAGTACACAATCTATCAGCAAACCAGTAGACCCCACGACGCTTAACTCACCTCGGTGTACGCCAAAAGACAGTTCAGGCACATGCCTTACTATACCTTACTATCAATCACCTCGGTGTATGCCAGAAGACAGTTCGGGCACATGCCTTACTATGTCTTACTGTCAATCACCTCGGCGTACGCCACAAGACAGTTCGGGCATGTGCCTTACTATGCTCTACTATGTCAATCACTTCGCACACTGAACCATGATAGCTCGGATAAAACAACACTTGACCATGATAGCTCGGATAAAACAACACATGGAAAAAGAAAGATCAATTTCATTAACAAGTAAGTTTTGTACAACGAGCTTGACAAAAAAAAAACAAAAAGAAAACAACAAAGACTGAGCTCATAGGCTCGGAATACAAGGACAATCACTTCGGGGGCTCTTCATCCCCGCGCGAGACCTCCTCAGGAGCTTCGGGCTAGTCAGGGACGTCCGCTTCCTCGTCACCATCCTCCTCCTCTGAATCTGGATCCTCTGTGGCTTGACGAGCTATCTCATCCGTGATTCGCGAGGTGGTGATGGCACTTATGTCAAGCTCAGGGTACGTGTGCCTTATCAGCCACCGGCTGAGCTTGAACCCCTTGCGGTAAGCCTCCCCCAGAACGGCATCAAATTTATCAGATTGGATGTACTCCGCGACAGCCTTGATCTTCGTATCCTCTATCGCTTGAGTGAAGATCTCGGTCTTCTCTTCGATGTCCGCCTTGAGGAGGGCCTTCGTATTCTCCTTATGGCCTTCCGCCTCCGCCTTGAGAGCGTCCAGCTCGCCCCTCAACACACCCTTCTCGCGTGCCAGCTCCGCTTTGAGGGCCTCCATCTCGCCCCTTAACACGTCATTCTCGCGTGCTAGCTCGTCCTTCTCCGCCGTCAGCGCCGTAATAACGCCCCTCTGGGCCATGGTGCCACTCTCCAACCGGTGGATCTGCTCACGAGCTACCCTCAGATCGGTATGAGAAGCGCGGGAAGACTCCTCGGCGGTCAGAGCTCGCTTCAGGTTCCTCTCGGACTGAAGAGCAAGGGCGTGCACGGCGGAGTTCGCCTGACAAAGGAAGTTAGTTAGTACCGAAGAAACGTATATATAAAAGAAAAGGAAAGGAAAGAGAAGAGAACTTACCACCATAGTGTGGGTGGCAGCCCAGGCTCCGAGCTGAGCAGGGTTGAGCATATCGGCCCAGACTGAAATCTCCTCAGAGTAAACGGCCCCCTTGCTCTTCCGAAGACCGCACTGGGGGACCAAGATACTTCGGCCCCCGTTCGGGCTCCCCGAGCTGGAGACAGCCGTCTCGGCTGTATGAATGGGCTCGGCAGAGACCTCAGCTGCTACGTCAGCAGCTCCGGTAGCAACCTCGAGCTCAGTTGATGCCCACATAGTGGGCTCGGCCAAGGTCTCGGGCTCCCTAGGTGGTATGGACTCCTCCAAGTCAATGATCGGAGGAGCCCCAGGGAGCTCGGGCTCGGAAGTCGGAGCCAGTGGAAGCTTGGGCTTGGGAGTGGGGGCTGGCGATGACTCGATACGAGCTCTCTTAGCAGCCTGCTTCTTCCTCCCCTTCATGTGCTTGAAGAGCCGATCTCCCTTAAGCTTATCTGCCTCCATGGGACCTGCAACAGAGCTCGGCATTAGTACTCGAGTAAAAGAAAGGAGCAGGCAAGACAACTAAGGTACTAACTACCTACCCGGGCTCAAGCTGGCCTGGATGAGCATACTCTCGGTGATGTAATCCTTGTAACTACAACCGATCTCAGCCCATGACTGGAATGTCTCCCTGGTCTTCTTGTCGAGGATGATGTCGGGGTCTTGGATAGCCGCCCTCCAGTGAGTAGGGAAGGGCCACCCCGTAGGGTTCCGGACTACGAAGTAGTCCTGCTTCCAAGCCGAAGGAAGCTTATGCATCAACTTGAAGCCCGGGCGAGGGGACAAGTAGTAAGCCCTTCTATGCTCGGGGAGAACGCATGAAGCGCTCTTCTTAATGGTGAGGATAGAACAGAATATGTCCAAGTTAAGGGGGAGGACATACTCATCGTAGAGGGAAATGGTCCCGACCACGTTACGGACCGAGTTCGGGTGAAGCTGGTCTATCTTAACGTTGAAGTGATTCAGGACCTTCACTACGAGTGGATGGAAGGGTAAGCGTAGCCCGGGTATGAGCTTTTCTTGAAAGATTACGACCTCATCAGGGCCGTGCTCCCATGGGAAGTTACCCGCAGGTAAACTGTAGGTGTACTCCCTAGGCAGGTTATACTACCGAATAAGGTAGCGGAGCCTCTCCAGGGTCATGGTGGAGGATCTGAACCTGTCCGGCATCCGACCTCGGTGAGAGGTGGACGCCAAGTTACCCGAGGCCTCCCGCGCCTCGGGGGACTGGACTCCGGTAGGGTTACCCTGAGCTGAGGTACCCACCTCGGGCTCATCTAATTGGCTATCAAAGGAAGACATAACGAAACTGAAGAAGAGCTAGGGTGACTCACCAAAGAGAGTTGGACCGGACTGGGAAGAACTGACCCGAGCTGGAGGCTTTGGACGCGAGCTCAAGACTACGGTTGAGGATTTGTGGCAAAGGAAAATGGCCAGGACCCTCACTATTTATAGCCACTATACGCGGGCATCAACGGTTGAGATTGAAACGATTTGACAGTCCTCATGAAAACCGGCTGTGAGACCTTCGAGGCGAAATTAGTTTAACGCGTTTTTTTGAGTTTGTGGAGTCTATAAGTCGCGTGACATCCGCGCATAGACCGTACGTGACCCAAACCATGCCTAGTAGAGCCGAGTGGAGAACCGGTCCAACCGATGAGCTGGCGGACAAGAAAGCTTAGACCTCAAGCCAAATCCACCCGACAGACCACGGACTCCCTGCGCTGGGTCAGCACCCCTAGCACGGGGAGTGGGGGGCAATTGATGTAGGGTGATTTGCCCCGACCTCGTAACACGGGGACACGTGGACATGACCTGGCATAAGTGACAACTTAGCGCGATAACCTGGCCACAACTTGGCGAAACAAGCTCGCTGAGGCCCGACCATACAACTCGGCGGGTGTAACAGCTCGCCGAGAAGCGAGGCCCAGCCCGCCCCAAGCCTGAGGATGGAGCTCCCCGAGCTCCCCCCGTGGGGCTCTGAGCTCTTCCTTCCTAAGAAGGGGGCACCCCAGCTTTTGGCTAAGTGTCCCAAGGGAGAAACACCTCGGGGCAGAACCGTCGAAACTCCTGGTCGTACTTGCT